ATATATATTTTTTTTTTTTGAGATGACAAAACAGTATATTTTTGTGGTGTGCCACCTTTTCTTTTCTTTGTTGCTAGGTCAAATAAATAATGTTTAGTTTGCTAGATTTGTTTTTCTGTTTTTATTATAGATTTTATTTGGCACCACTCTTTCTTTATTTTGAATATTTTATGTATAACTGTTCTACTTCATACCATCAGCTATTTGTTTATATTTAGCCTTCATAATTAAAACTCTGTCACAATGTAAACTATACACAGTTATTAAAGGGATAGTTCACCCAAAAATTCTGTCATTAATTACTCACCCTCATGTCGTTCCAAACCTGTAAGACCTTCATTCATTTCGGAACACTGGAATGCATAATGTTCCGAAAATGGAAACCATATTTTTGATGCATTCCGACGAGAGCTCTCTGACCCTCCCATAGACAGCAAGGATCCTTACACAATCAAGGCTCAGAAACGTAGCAAGGAGATCGTTAAAATAATCCATGTGACATCAGTGGTTCAACCGTAACTTTACGAAGCTACGAGAATATTTTTGTGCTCAAAGAAAACCAAAATAACTACTTTATTCAACAATTTGTTTCTTACGCGTCACCCTATAGTGCCATTTTGGAGAGTATCACATATGTAAACAACGTATGCTGTTCTGTGTCAGCAGCACCGTACGCGGATACGCTGTTTACACTTTGATCTGAACATAAACAACGTATCCGCGTACATACGTTGCATACGTTGTTTACGTATGTGATACTCTCCAAAATCGCACTATAGGGTGACGCGGAGGAGATTAATTGTTAAATATTCTCGTAGCTTCGCAATGTTATGGTTGAACCACTGATGTCGCATGGATTATTTTAACGATTTCCTTGCTACGTTTCTGAGCCTTGATTGTGTAAGGATCCTTGCTGTCTATGGGAGGGTCAGAGAGCTCTCGGAATGCATCAAAAATATCTTAATTTGTGTTCCGAAGATGAAAGAAGGTCTTACAGGTTTGGAACGACATGAGGGTGAGTAATTAATGACAGAATTTTCATTTTTTTGGGTGAACTATCCCTTTAAGTAAATAAGTCAGACAAAAATTATCAAAAGTTTTATAACCTGATGACTGCAAGTCCCACCTACCAGAAGAAACACTACAGTGTTTCTTCTACAGTGTACAGTGACCTAACTACAGTACTACCATGGGTACTGCACTGCTATATAGCTGTTGTCTTACGTTCTATCGCTTCTTTTAAATAGTTTTTCTATATATGCATGTCCTATACAGACGTAATTGTGCCACATATCACTGCTGCTCACTGAGTTGTTCAATATTTAAAAATACATCTTGAGTCTTTTTCAAAAAAAAAAAAATTAATGGCATACACATGATTATTGACATACATGATTTAGCATTACTTTTCAGAATATATATTTAAATGCTAAGCAAGTTTAAAGAATGGGGCAATGCTGTCCACAAAACATGTATAGAATCTCCAGTGCATCAGGTTCTACAGAGTGTCTTGCGACTTCTGCACTTTGTCCTTTGGTTGGCTGAGTAATTACAGGAGGTGTAGTTTCTATCATTGGATGCACCTTATTAGCTGCTTTTTTTATGTCCATTGGTGTGAAGACAGTTACAATGCTGTGTTTCTCAGCCCAACATTTTGGAGGCTCTGTTAAAGGAGTCACTTTGTTTTCTGTTTTCCTTTTTGGAGTGTCAGTTTTTTGGTCATCTGGCTGCATCTCAGAATCATTGGCATTTGGAAGGTGGAAGTAGGTGATTATCCTCCCTGGGCACTCTTCTTCTTGTTCTGTGAAAGAAGGATCCTTGTCAGGCATCATAGAAGAATGGCCAAATAAGGAATATGGAATATCCTCTTTTACAGATTCTTGCTCTGACTCAGCCAACACATCCTTGTCTTCTATATTCTTGGATGTGTCTACATTCTCCGAACAAGATTTCAGACTCATTTGATTTTCCCTAAGTAACCAGCGAGCCTTATCAATTAAGACCGCATCCTTGGGTCCCACCCTGGCATTCAGAGTGACACAGTTCATTGGCTCATTTAAAGTATCTACTGAGCTTGTGGCATTAAAGTATGACAAATCTGGAACGGCATTTGTGTGAACTTCATGGAGGGAGGGTAGACTTGAGGCAGTTGTACCTCTAAGACCTTCTCTCTTCTCGACTTTGTCAGTTGAAGGAGATCTCTTCTCATCGGAACTACATCCTTTAGAGCCTTTTCCATAAAGCTGCTCAATTGTTCTTTTTACATAACCCTTTGCAATAGACAACCTGCATGTGTTTTTATCTTCTCTTGACACCTCTGAGGATGTTAATAATTGGTATTCTTTTCTGTGAGAAGATTCAAGTTGGTAATTTGACAGTTCAGAACTTGGGCTGCTCAGCTGTGCCTGTCCATGCCGCATGTCTGTATTGCTCTTGGCAAGAAACATGTCTCTGATGGATTTCACTCTGTTGGTCTGAATGTGTGCCTCTGAATCTTTTGCCAAATCACTGTTTTTGGAATCATAACTGAATGCTAATGATGATGAGACTGAATCCATTGATCCACTTTCTGTGGTTTTGATCATCTTTGATGCCTCTCGATTAGTTACACTGATGTGGTTTTCCTGGTCTTGTAGACTACCGATAGGCTTTGCAACAGTACTTGCTCTTGCCTCCTTAAAATTATTCTCATTTTCTTCATACTCATTGATTTCTTCAGGAATCTCCACACAGTTCTCCTGATAGATGGTGTAGCATTCTGGTGCTTCTAGGATTACATGTTCCTCCTCAGAATAAGTCCTACTTTCCATACAGAACTCTTGGTGTGTAATTGAATGTTGTATTTCATCCACTTCTATATTTGATTCAATATGAGTATGAGGGATACCTTGCACCTCAGGTAATACAATATACCTCTCTGTACTTTTTGTTTTATTGTGTAACTGATCTTGAGTTTGAGTGGCCTGAAACTCATTTTGCCAATGTCCTGATATTGTCTCCTGTGAACATATCTGTTCTGCTCCATCATTTGGCTCAGGAGTTTTCACATTAAGATTCATTTCTTTACTGAAATACTTATCTTTAGGAAATGTCTCATCACTATATCTTCCATTCTCCTCCTGTTGGTTGACCTTTTCTTTTGCAGAGAAATTAATTTTTCCTATACAGGAAACAAGTGATTCTGATAATTTAGACCCTTCCTCTTCAACTGTGTCTCTGTCTTTTTCTATCTCATTTACCACTTTTCTTAGCAACTCTTCATGTTTTAATACTGTCTTAAGAGATTCAGAATTCTCCAATTTAGAACTATTTTCTTTGCATGTACCTCTTCCTTCAGTAATTTCCTTTTGCCTTTCTTCTCTACTCATCTCTTCTACTTTTTCCTGATGTTTCTTTGAAGTTTCTTCTTCTTGTCTCTTGTGTCCTACTTTCTCCAACTCTCTACACATTTCAGCCTCAAAGCTAGATTCACCAGGTGGCATATCCTTGCAGATATCAGAAACAGGTATGGCATCCCCTTTAATTTTTTTCTTTGTGTTGTAAAAGTTGTCATTTCTCAAATCCTGTTGGTATCTATCTTCAATCACAAGATCCTTTTCAGGTCTTTCCAGTGAGCCTACCGCGAAAACCTGTGAATTGTCACTATCTTTAAGGTGTGCGGTTATAGCTCTATCAATAACTGAATTAACATACATATTCACACAATCTTCCAGCACAAAATCTGATAAACTATCCATTTTCTCTTTAGAGTGGAGCTCTGAAAATCCATTCATTTTCATTGCTGGGAATGAATCACTAACTTCATTCATGCTCTCATCTAAACAGTTAAGGGCTGCCAACTCCTCTCTGACTCTCTCTGGAACACCTAAATGTTCCATCAGCATTTGGATAGCATGTTCTTCCTCCTCTGAACTTGAACTTTGATTGAACTCACTCACAGTGGTCTTTGGTGTGGCACTGCTACACCTTGCTTTATTGATAAGTACTTGGAAGCCCTTCCAGCTCTGTAACAGCTGAACAGATGCTGAGTTGTGAAGGTGGGATAGACTTATCCTAAGATGCTCTGCATCTTCTATTGCTGCCAATTCTTTTAGAGATTGCATCATGCGCATAGCCTCAGAACAGCTTAGATTGGCATCAGCCTGACCACATGCATTTAAATGGCTTAAGCCATCCCTTAAAGTCATAACACAAAGAAATGCAAGAAGTACCCTAGAGGAAGCACTAAATGTAGATTCCACATGTGAAGAAAAATCTGGCACACATTTAGACATTTTCAAGCATGACCGTTTGTGTTGTGTGATCTCACAAAGTGACTCAATGTAATAACAAAGCTGATCAAGTACTGGCTTCATATCTGGCCTTACAGCCATTTTTACTGTGTAGAATTTTTGTGCTTGCAAATCTGTCAGTTCTATTGAATTCTTTGTTTGGATACCAAGTGGTCTCCTCAAAGTATTTTCTGTGTCATATGAGTCGGTCTTACTTATTAGCTCAGATGTCTGTTGACTTTCCCTTGTTTTTGTTAAGTGATCACTGTTTATCTGTTCAGGTTTTTTTGTCTTTGGTGAATATACACAAATCTCGTTCTCTTCAAAAGCTTCATTTGTTGATGGTTGTATTGTATTACAAGATTGATAATTGAACAGAGATGCTTTTACCACCGTGTTATTTTTGGGTATAGTTTCTAAAGAGGGCTGGTTAAGCAGTGGTGGTTTTACCTTTGTACTTCTCTGTAGCCAGAGTTCAACATATTCTGATGTTTGCTGTCTCAACGTGCCTTTGATGAGTGATGCTTTTTGCATTTTTGTCTTTGGCAAAGTGTAACTACCAGCTTGTACTTGGATGTTGTTTTGATCTTTTTCAACTAAAAAAGAGCGTAGGTCATCTGTTTTCAGTTGAACACACTCTAACTGCTCTGTTTGGGGTTTTAGAGGAACATTTCCATTTCCATTATAATTTCCCCTTTTCAGTAGTTTTTGAGCAGCTTTTGTTGTGTAATTCTTGTTTAGTTTCAGAGCTCTTTTTTGGCTTGATATATCAAGTCTTTTTTGCTTTATTTCTTTCAGAATGTCAGCTTTATTAGCCATTTGTTTTCTTTTTGGAATAGCAGACTTAAACAAGTGATTCTTCTTTACTACTACTCTAACTGCCTTCCTCTTTGTGGTTGTACCAAGAGTAAGAACTCTTTTAGATACTGAGGCTTTTGAGGATGCGGTAACTGGTGTCACTGCCACCTTGGCCCTCTTTGTTGAACTGGTGTTTGTTTTGTCAGTGGAAGTACAAGGTTTAGAAATTGGGGAGAGTATACCTTGTTTCCCAACTGACTGACATTTGATGGTTGCCAAATTCTCAGATTTTATATCTTCATTAAAGGAATGGAAGATTTTATCTGAGGATGCTGGAAAAGTGGTGTCAGAAGATGCTACATATTCATGGGGTGAACTGCCAAAGAATTGCAAATGATGTTGCGTTTTGCCTGAGAAGTTCTCTTGACAAGTCTGCTTTTCATAAATATGTAAAGGTGTCTCATACATATTTTTCTGATTGTCCTGAAACTGGAGATTCTCTGAACATCTGTAGTTGCTCAATTGTAGCCGTGTCGTTGTGTGAATTTCAGAGGCCAAGGTACATCGAGGCTTGGGTACAGGGTGGTTACAATGCTGTACCATACAGTATTCCTGCTTCACATCTCCACTGTCCAGCTCTTCCATGTCAGAGTATGAATGGTTCTTATGAAATTCTGTATCACTTACTGTCTTGATGCTCTCAGTGGATTCTTGTTTGTGTTGTACCTTGTGCAACCCTGGAAAGTGGGAAAGTGGTGAGGGTAGTCGCTCTAACTCCATGCTTGCAGCACCTCCACTTATCTCAGTCTCTTCATTTACCTTACAGCCATCCTCAGGGCAGAAATGGTTGCTGTCATTAGGGTTACTCTCGCTGACCTCTATAGAAAGAGTATCATTTTGAGGGGGTACGTTGTCAGGTAAATTAGCATCCAGGTCAGGACAGGAAATAGTGGCTGCTTTAAATTGATTGTACACACTGGAACGACTGACTGTGGTTGTCCAATGAATTGTTTCCTCTTCTTTAATAGTGAGGTGTACCTTCATTTCTACTGTCATACTTCCATCTTGATTGACTCTGAAAGCTTTCTCAATGTCATCATCAGAAGGCATGTGTGTGTCATCCTCTTTCTCACCATCCCGACTGGTAATGACTTCTGTTTCAGCAACTGACTCAAGATGCTGTCCAGGCTCTACTTCCACAGAGCCATTTGGGTTGCTTGGAAAATCATACATACTTCCTGACATACTTTTATGTATTTGATTCACAAAGTAGTGTTCAGAGGATGGGGAGAATGGACGGGATTTGGTGCTGCTGGACTTATTTTTTCCTTTAGAATGTTGGTGATATGTAGATAAAATAGGATTTCACAGTGTGGTGATAGATGTAGATGTTCATTAAGACCAGAAGGTGTGTGGTCAAGGCAGGACAGCAGAAAAGCATTGCAAGTGAGAAAAATAAAGAGCATACAGAAGCAGATTAGAGAGAGCATGCATGCTATAATCCATATTGAAGGATGTAGGTCACTGTAGGTATTACAGTAGATATGAATGTCTCAGCACTTGCTTAAAGATAGTCTCAGTAATAGATTATCCTGACATGTAGTGTAATGTAAAAAGCATTTTTAAATAGGAATCTGTCAAGAATTTTTTTATTGAACAGATGTCTTACATTTGCAAACGATTATTGAATTTATATTACTTTGTCCTCATTATTATAGTAGTTGAGCTCAGTACTAGAATAAAAGTAAAATGAATAAACTTACTGGCTATTGGATGTCGCCGTCCCAGTCTTTTAACTGGCAGCCACATTGGTGGAGATGACTTCTGAACATCATAGTTTATTTTTTTGAAAGGTTCCCGGCCAGCAGCCACCAATACCCCAGAGCATAATATCAATGCAGGAAGCCCATCCACCTATGATAATGTGAAAACATCTTTATAGTGTATCAACAAACTATCTATTCAACAAAGCAGGGATACATTATTAGTATAGTCAGTAGTGATGCTAGATTACATTGCAATTCATTTCAATTAATCAATTGTCTATGATAATGCATTTCTGTCCATGCTATGTCCAAAATGCCTGTTAAAGGTCATTTTAAAGCTTCCTATTAGTCTCATGCTAGGCTACTTTGTTTCCAAATTCCAGCAGAGTATTCCTTTAATAAAGGTCAGTTGAGTCCAATATTGTTGTAGACCCAACTGACTTTCATTGTATGAAGAAAAACAGTTGAAACAATCTTCAAAATATCTTCATTTGTGTTTCATACAAGAACGAGGTGATTTAATGGCAAACTTGCAAATTTGTACTTCTTTTCTCGTCTTCTCTCTTCTTCCATCTTTTGCACTCAGTGTTCACGCAATGTTATTAATATTTTTTTTGTATTTGTCACTTATTAATATATTTCTTTTCTCTATTTTGAATATATATACAGTGCCTTGCGAAAGTATTCATACCCCTTCATTTATTTCAAGTTTTATGTTGCAGCCTTATGTTAAACTGCTTTAAATTATTTTTTCCCCACATCAATCTACACTCCTTACACCATAATGATAAAGCAAAAACAGAACTGTCACAACTTTGTAAATTTAGTAAAAATAAAAAAACTGAAATAAGTACATTGCATAAGTATTCAAACCCTTAACTCATTACTTAGCTGAAGCACCTTAACAGCCTCACGTCTTTTTGGGTATGATGCAACAAGCTTTCCACATCAGCATTTGGCAATTATCTGCCATTCTTCTCCTCGCCTCTTCACCTCTCAAGCTCTGTCAGGTTGGATGGGGGCAGATGCACATTTTCAGGTTTCTCTAGAAATATTTGATTGGGTTAAGGCCAGGCTGTGGCTGGGCCACTCAAGGACATTCACAGAGTTGTCTATAAGCCACTCTTGCTGTGTGCTTAGGGTCATTGTCCTGTTGGAAGGTGAACCTTCTGCCCAGTCTGAGGTTCTGAATGCTCTGGACT